CCCAATCTCTGAAAACAACTAGTTGGGCAGAGCTGAGATGTAGCTCCCGGACCTGCTCCAAGTCATGGCTGTTTGAGAAGGAAGAGGCTCCACCTGCTTACACATCAGAGCGATGTCATGTCAGCTCTCCGAAGGTCTGATGCCCGGAAAGTGGCCACCATCCTGCTGTGTGGGCATATGACAGAGGCTGCCCATAAGCAGCACAGAGACAAAATCTTGGGGGCTACCACAGGGCACATTCATGACCCTCTCCTGACCTAAGTCCAAGAAGATGACCATTCAAACACCAAGTAGATGGCTCCCATGACAAGTAGCACTGTACGTAGACAGCCCAAGATCTAGCAAGAAGAAATGGACATGCAGTCAGCCAATGCTCCGTTAGGTAACACAGCTCACATGTCAACACCAAGAGAATCCGTTCAAATTTAAAACTCAGGAATATCCCAGTGCTTTGCTAAAATGTCTGTAACAGGGAAAGCTGCCATTTTTTTAATTTTTTTTTTGTCTCCTTGTAAAAGCAGCATTGGGGAAAAAGAGGTGGGAGAAGTAAAATCCCCTATTATTACAACAGTGTAACTTTCACTGGAAACCCAAATGCCAAATCCCTGACTACTCCAAAGGGTTAAATAAAGCTCCTTTTCCTTAAGGGTGGAGTTGTCCTAAGCCCTAAAAGAAGGAAACTTTCCCCACTGGGTTCAGAATAGGATCCCAAAAAGAACTTGTCAGCTGGTATTTGGCTTCTCAACCCTTTCCTCTCTCCTGGGGGAATGGTAATACATGGTAATACATGAGGAGCTTTAGACCGGGGATCAAGACCAGAGACTGTTTTGTTTTGCTACAAACTTAACCTCTATGGGTCTCTTCTTACGTGGTAAAATAGGACTCACTTCACAAGATTATTAAATATCAAATAAGATACAGCGTTTGAAACTGCAAGGATTCAGTTTGGCAAGTATTTTTACACAGATAACGCCATCCTCTGACCATCCTCAAGGTGATGTAGAGGTGGGAGAAGTAACAGTGTACAGTGACCTCATTCCTCTGTCAAGTTCTTTGCATTGAAGGGATGAGGGCTGGTGAAATTTGGTGGTCTGGAACTCAATCTGCAAATCAATAAAAATGTATGTTTGAGGATATGTGTCTTTTCTTTGATCTTCTAAAACATCTGTAGCAGAAATCACTTACATTTATGCACACAAATACATGGTTACACAAGACAGACCTTGCCTGGAGCATCAGAACCAACATAAAAGCCACCCCTTTCCCTTTCACACTGGAAGCTGCTTTTAGAAATGTGGTGGACAGAAATCGACACCCCCATTACTCTCTCCTGAGACCACTAGGCAGTTCCTGTCAAGCATCATTAAATGGGAAGAGCGGGTCACACTGGAAAAATGGTCAAGGCATAGGAAAATGGCTTTTTGGTAACCTCATGCTTAAAAATATATTTTTATAGAAAAACAATGCTATGACTGTAGTGGAAACACATGTAATTGGCATTTTAACATATTTTGAGGTTTGACTCTCTGGACTTGAATTCAGACACAATTTACAATGTTGTTTCTATAAGGAAATAAATGTATTCTGAGATCCAAAGGATCAATACATGAACTTCAGCACCACAACTCATCTGTAAGTAAAACTGCAGTACTTGTTTTCTTTGTGTATTTTTAATGAGCCAAAGAAAATCCCAAACCAGCAGATGGATGGTTCATGTGCAAGATCAGTAACTGAGTGATATGTACAAATCTAGTGATTAACCTTATTTGCAAAATAAGCATTAGTGGTATTGAGAATGGAGAGAATTTGGTGGGATGGAACTTAATCTGAAATTAATGTGTAGTGTTAGAGGAACATGCTTAACAATTTTAAGATGCAATATTTAAACCATCTGTGCAATTCTCTGTCTACAGAATAACCAATATTTTATGGCGTGCAAAATCACACACACAGAAGTCTTAACTAATTAATTTAATCTTCATGACAACTTTAAGAGATTACTATTCCCAAATTAACCAGAAGAAACTGAAATTGAAGCATAGTGAATTAAGTAATTTGCCCAACATCATCACAATGTGAGCCCGAGACTTCTGCCACCTGACTCTCACTTTGACTATCTGCATTAAACCAAACTTTTGATTTCAAAGCCTTACAAGTCTTTAGATTTTTTTCAAGGATTTCCAAAACACTCTTTAAAAAAGCATTTCCTTTTGAGTAAATAATGTTTATGCATTAAGTTTAGTTACAACTTTCACAAGTTGAAATCTATAGCTAGTCTCATTTTATATTTTTGAAAATTCAATGTAGGTAAAATGAGTCAGATGCCATCATCCTAAACTTGGACATCTCCATTGTGCAGAGAAAGTGGAAACCCTACCAATATCTGAATATTTGTGCTATCAGAATGATTCTGGAAATATGCTGGAACTGGCTGCCCCTAGAGACATGATACAAACAAGAAAGACAATGGGCTCCATGTTCACTAGACTGGGGTGGAAATAATTCAGCTCCCTGAGCCTCTATCTCCCACTTGACCTCATCCTGTTAAATGGAGATCCTAATGTCTACCTCACAAAGTTATAAGGTTTGAGCAGACATGTGAAAACACTTTGGCAAATGTATATAATTTCCATGTAGGCTTAGTTGAGCCACAGCTCAGGTGGATGGTGGCATTGGGTACAGAGCTCTGTTAGGTAGAAAGATAGACATAAGCAGCCAGGGAAGGGGAGATAAGGTTCAAGTAAAAGACTGCCCAGTCGGCCCAGGCATGGGGACCGCTGTAAAGACAATAAAGGCTTTGCTGGAACCGGAAGGCTTTGCCTCGCAGAACCAGGCCAAACTGGTCCCAACACAGGGGTAATCAAACAAAACTAAGAACCACCCAAACCTTTCCACCTCATCATAGTCTCATTAAAATAAAATTGCAGTTTTGCTCCCCTCCCCCACCCCCTTGCCACCCCACTGGCTTTTCTATGTGCATTTTGGGAAAAGATGCCCGCACCAAGAGGAATGGGTGTAAAATTAGCCCTGTCAATCAAATTACCTCACCCTGTCAATCAAAGAAGGGCCTCCCCTGAAAAGTTCGGAGCCTTTGTCTGCCTTGAGTCTGGCGGGCTCCTCCTCTGGGGTGTATTCAAATAAAACTGTCACTCTGCTTCACTACTGCATCTCAGCCTTTCAGTTCTTTGTTACAGTGGGGCAAGGGCCCAGGAGAACAAACTCAACCTGTAACAGTTCTTACGTGCGGAAGGATGCTAGTTTTATGTCCTCGGGCTTTTCAAATTAGAATGGCTTGTTTCTTCTGAGGCACTTCCTGTGTTTTCATAAACAGGGTGGAAGAGTATAACCAATTCCAGGTACTTTGTGCCCCCTTGAAGAAAAAAATGTATCCCCTTCGTCAACCACAGAAGAGAAATACGAAACATATGCAATTGGTTCAACTGACTCAAGTGTAATAAACCTACGACTTAAAATAATTGATTGTAGTTCATTTCCCATTTAAATTACTTTCATGACATACTGCCATAACCTGAAGGACTTTGCAAGAACTAACTTGGAAATTGAAGATCAACGTTCTGAGTCATCCTAAGAATAGTTAGAGGATTTTTCTGTCTTAAGCCAGTTGGGAAGTGAAACAGGTCTCCCCTCCTAGAGTTAGGGGCCCCTGGGGTGAAGTATCCTGATCTATTCCCAGGTTCAAACAAATCTGTGAAAATTTGATAATTCCAACAAAATAAATTAGGGTCAAATGAGAAAAAACACAAATAAATTTCAAAGAAGGTTAGTCCCTGTGCAGGGCTGGAAGGGTGGGCCAGGAATTCAGCCTACAGTTAATGTTGAATTTTGTCCCTTTTTATTGAGGATGCAGTCCGTTTGGATTCTTGGTTAACTCCCAATAACAAAAGAGGCCAGCTCAGTTGCTACAGAAGATTCTAGATGAAAGAATCGTCTCCACAAAGCTCCTCATTGTAAAGATGAGAATCTGAAACCCAGGTCTCTGGATGTGGTGATTTGTTATCTGGGATCCTATCTGTGACTCAACTGGTTTATCAGGCACTTTGGAGTTAGGACTGGAGCATATTTACTTTTCATCCTATATACAGTACAGCTGATAGTATTACGAGTACTGTTAGCTTGAGGAAAAGAACACTTAATGTCCTGGCTGTCCATTTATGAGACTATGAACAATTCTCCACAGTTATGAAAATGGAAGGCATACCAAGTATTCCTGGTAACAAGGAGCACGAGCCACAGTCCACCTAGGAAAAGATGACAGTGCCTTCAAGGCTGCATGGAACGACCCAGCCAGCCCTCCTGAGTGGAATCTTCCAGTCACTGGAGTGAGCCAGGAAAGCCGATGATGGCTTGGTCCCAGTGATGCCCGCTCTGGGCCATGCCCTTAGGCACTTGGCAGCCTTGGGATGATTTATGATAAGGATACAGCCCCAGACCACAGCCCCAAGCAACTGAAGAAACAGGAGGGAAGTCAGATGAATATGAAGTCGTCCTTCAGGACAACTACTAATCCAACAATAGAGGCCACCTTGCATGGGACAATTTTAAAATATAAATGATGGTATTTGTCAAGGTTTATACATCAATCTGAACTGAAAGCCAAGAGCAAATTATCTTTCACTAGCTCAGGTCCTGGAAAACTTTTTTACCTTGATTCAAGGACACAACTTGTTCCGAAGTCTTTGGATTTGACATGGCTCATAATGCTTGCTGTCATCAAAAGATGAGCTGGAAAATTCCACATCCTTGTATCCTTGCTGATGTGATTTGATGGGTACACACAGTGTGCTAGGCACTGGTGGGACACACTATATTCCCATATAATCTTCAGGACCTACCTCCCAAATCATGTCTTTTCCTATAACTACATATGTTCACTAAATATACTAGCATCATTTGTTAAAAAATTCTTACTTTCATAAGAAGCTGTTGAAGTTAGCAAGGAATGGTACCAATGTTCATAATACATTTACATTTAGGAATCATTTTTACTGAAAACAAAGGTAATTTTTTATTAGAAAAAAACTAACATTTTAATACAAGATCACCAGTTATGAGAATGCATACCAAATAATGGCACCAAATTGGTCTTAGAAAGAAACAGCACAATGATGGGGCACCTGATAGTCCACCACAGCTGTGAGGAGCCTGCAGCCAGCAGACACACAGTTCCCACCACCTGACACACAAATATGTACAGGTTATGTAAGATTTAGAAAGCACATCAGAAGAGGATGAACACACCCACATACGCATATCCATGTGTGTATATGTGTGTATGTTTTCCTTCATTTTTCTCCGCTCAAAGAAATTCCCAATCTAGAATTATTTGATGCCTAATACTACACATAGGAAATATCACAAAGCAAAAGTTTACAATTTCCTGGGAGCTGTTAACTGGAAATATAAAATGGGTTTTGCATTCTTTTTAGTGTACAATCCACAAACAAACAGAAGTTGTTACGTAGTGCTTGCCTATTAAGTGTAACATTACTGAAAAGCTTTATTTATACAGTCTTTACATCACAGAAGAGGAGGATCAGTGCTGAAGACGCAGGTAATCAGTGCTTCCTGACTTTTCTGATACTTACAGGGGGAGATCTAAGAGTATAAAACATATTTCAATTTCAAAGGAGTTGTTTGCTTCCCTCTGATCATGCACTCCCCGCAGGCACTCCACTTGCTGTTCAGTCCTGCACCTTCCAGGGGGGCAGACACACAAGGTCTCTCCTACTGGACCCTACAGTTCTCGTTGCTCTTGGACTCGGGGCCAGCTTCTGGGCTGGGGGCCAACCGACCTCGCTTGGCCCTCGAGTCCTCCCTGGGGCTGTCAGCGGAACCCCTCTCAGGAAGGTTACTGCCCGAGAGAGATCTCGTGGAGGGTTCCCGGAAGATGGTGCCTGAGTCCACTGGGCTTTGTTGAGCAACCTTGACCTGCAGCACAAACATCTCTGTTAGAGGCTTAAATCACCACATTCACATTTCTACAACACGGAAAATAAGATAGTTATGTCACCAAGTATTAAGTTAAATTCTTCTGTAGGAGTTATTCATGGCTTTGTTATTTCTTCTTCCTGAGAACAGGCTCCACCTAACAGAAGCTAGGGCGATGTTGGACAGGACCCCTGACAAGCCACCTCACAAACTTTCCTTGAAGGCTCCGATGGCCAGAACTTGCTCGCAAAGCCAGTGTGACATTCCCAGGTCAGAAGGTAAGCTTTTTGAGGACATCTATATCCTATTCATCTTTGTATCCCTAGTGCTCAGAACATGCCTGACTACCTAGCAACATTCAAAGAGAACCCACACCAGCTTCCATTTGTCCTAATTGAGCCCCTGCTGTCATTCAAATGAGCATAATCCAAGCTAGGACCACCTTCATGGGGTGGAACCTTTACTTATAAGACTGAAAAGACTTGCTTCTCATACAATGGCATTTTAATCATTCTCCTTAGACTTTTGTTTTCTTTCTATATTGAATTCAGATTATAGCAGAAGGGCAGTTACCTAATAACAAAGTCCAGAGAGAGTAAATCCTCGATATGCTGCCCTTGTAAGAGAAAGAGGGATCCCAGAAAATACAAGACTTTAAAAAGAACCAGATGAGAGGGCGGGTGGCTAGTAGAGCCACGATTTTTTGAGGTTTACAAAGTAGTGACACAAAATGTGGAGTCAGGGAAAAGCAAGAGGAAAAAGACAGAGAAAGTACAGAAAAGCTTCACTCAACCAGAGTTATAGGCGAGAGTAAAATTTCAAGTAGGAAGATTTTTGAAAGAAAAAGAGAAAAGGCTCCTAACAAGGGTGATGCGCATTCAGTACCGATGCTGAGCAGTCGCCATGTGACGGATCACTTCCTGAGCAACTCACTCCAGGGACCTCCTTCTGAAGCAGTAAGAAAAAAGAATGGAAAGTATTTCCCCATTCATATTCTTTCCATAGGAAGTATGTGGTTTTAAAAGGCAGCTAAATACTTTTCATTACAGAACATAGTAAATCTGGCCAACAGATCAAATCCCTGGAAAGCTTGCCGCTCCTTCAGATTATGTTCAGGACACTTAAAAGGAACAGCCTTGAAGGATCAGGTCTTAATGGAAAATGACCATCCTTGGAAGAAAAAAAAGTTTTACTGGTACTTTTTTTTTTAAGTAGAAAGTAATACAAAAGACATTCCTCTTGAATCCATCAGATGCACAAGAGCCAATCTTCAGGTTCACTATTAAAAAAAAAAAAGGGACTGAAAGAGATCATATGGGGAAAAGAGAATTTGAGCTCATAAAACTTTCTTTATCCCAATTAAATAGCCAAAGCCCATCCCCCATTTGTTTATTCCTCTAGACTCAATTACTCTGATGCCGAATTGAGGAAACTATAGTCTGTGATTAGAGTTTATACTGGAATTGATCTTCATGTTGGTTAGTTAGCCTCAGACTCGTCCCTAACTGGATGAGGTCAGATTCACCAAGTATTTAAACTATTAAGTGTGCCCATACCCTAACTGTCTTACAAACTATGCCTGCAGCCACAGAGGGAAAAGGGGGAGCAGGTGACAGCTCAGTGTTAATCAACCTCATTAGCAGGAAAAAATGCAAGGTCCCACTAAACTGACAACAGACGTGGTGGTGACAGCATCACTGTCACCCCTACAATTTGGTGGGGGTCCTCTGGGGCTGCCCACCAGCCCCAGTTCAGTTAAGTCTACATACACAACTCCCCTGTCCCCAGCAAACGAGGAGCTCCTGGGCTTACTCACCCCAGGGACATAACAGCAAGTGATGGGTCCTCACCTGATCTGCCCTTTACCCGCTTCCCTCTGGACTTGCCAGAGTCACTAAAGGTCCTGCTAAATGACTTAGGGAATCACACCTCTCAAAACTCAGCCAGTCCTTCAGGTGGGGACTCATAATCCTGAGTTTTTAAGCAACTGCTTTAGGAAATGATACCTTGCTCTGTATTTTTCAAACTGAAAGAGGAAACGGGCTTAACAGATGAGGCAAGATTTTTATGAGGCGACTCAGCAAAGGTTGAATTAAACTAAAAATCAATAGTCTGAGTTTTGAAGAGTTTGTATCTAACCACGAAGTCTTCTCTCAGGAGGAACCCCCCACCCGCATTCATTTGCGCAAGTGCACAAAATTGCTTAGCAATTCATAGCTGCTGGTGCTCACTGCAGCCCGTAGTTCATGCACTGAGCTCAGATCTGTAGGAAACCATGGTTACTACTCTGTAGGCACCAGATTCAACAGCGGTGTGGAGAGAAGGCCCCCTAGTGGATAAAGCTCTTTTTTCTAGATAAGAAGTATGAATGCCACAACACATGTAAATGGCTTTTCCAATCAATTTCTCGTACAAGAAGCAAAAAAATGACTGGTGGTGATTTCATGAGATGATTCTCTAATGTACTTCTGAACATCCACACCTGCAATCACTTCAGGGCAACAGTAACAGCCCCTGTCATTCAGCAAGTATCACTGAGTGTCAGACACGGTATTAGGCATGAGGCCACAGGTAAATCATAAACAAAAGGAACTAGCTCATCAGAACTCGTACTGCACCTCAAAGGCAGATATTTAGCAAGTCAGCGCAAATAAAGTGAGCTGCCATAAAGCAGTGAAAGTACAGGGTGGTATCTGCACATCATGATTTTGTTTTTAGAGAGCCAGGTAAATACTTTATTTGATCCCCGTAAATGTGAGCCAAGCAGGAAGATATATTAGTACACACAGAGCAGCAAGGAGTGGCTCTGGTCACCCACCGAAGGAAATGGCACAGCGTACACCAGAACATGACCTGACTTCCCCTGCAGCCAGGGCTGACCTTGAGGCTAGGAGCTTTGGTCAAGCAGCTGGGGGGGCAGATAGGTGGGAGGAAAAAGTGTGCAACAAGCAACGGCCAGGGCCTGTGGCCAAAAGGAAGTCTCCTTCTTCAAATCCTGCCATGGCAATGCTTGGTATTTCCTACAAATCCTTCGGGTTCTGACCTACCAATTTCCCATCAAGCTATTCATAAGTAGCCTGTGGGGTCCAGGACGAGATTGTGCACGAGGGTAAAGTAGTGTTTATCCTCGGGTCTGCTCACTACTGCCTTATTTATAAATGCACTAAGAACAGTGGACTTTAAAGAGCTCCTGAGCCAGAGTGCAGTGTCAAAGCCTTACCCAGATAACACTGCACATTTCCTGGGTTTCAGGGGGCTGATGCATGTTGACAGGAGTTTACCTTTTGTGCTCTGCTGCCCCCAGCTGTTGGTTTGGAGGTCTCAGCGTGATTTTCTTTGTGGAGACTTAGTGGGGATGGTGCTGGCTTCTGTGCAGCAAGGCGGGGACTGGTCCTCGTTGCCAGGGTTGTTCTCCGCAGGACATATGGGCTTGTCTTTCCTGATGGGATGTCAGCAAACCCTAAGGGCAAAAAAGCTGCCGGTCAGCACTGCTAGGTCCAGCTCTACCCACGATGGAAACAACAGTTGTTACATAAAGTTTTGACAAATGTAAGGGGAATTCCAAAAACACTTTCTCCCAGCTCCAGGGGACAATGGATTAGCTTCACAGTTGCCCTGGGAGTTACCAAATCAAATAACAGGTTTTCTCCTACTGGAAGCACTAAGAAACCACATGGGAAGAGAATAGACAGTAACGTTCAACAGAAAAATGTTTCCTGCTTCCTCTCTATATGTGGATGTCTTGACTCATGTTTTCCTAAGATGTGAAGACCCAGCAGGTCTTCCTGTAAAACTTAGATTGGAGGGGAAAAGGGGGTAAAATGGAGAGGAAAAATAAAAAAACGAAGTCCAGCTCTGTTTAAAAGAGGGAGAATGTAAAATGGTAAGAGCAACTTCAGGTGACGACTCTCCTGTAAGCACTGGGAGGGAGGACAGACTTGACCTTGGCTAAGACTGATCCCACTCTGCTCACACGGTCTCCTTCCACAGACGTGGGAACAGACGTGATGGGGGCTGACCAAGGGAAGACAGCCGATCCCCAAGGCACTAAAAGACGGCGTATCACAAGCACTCCCGAGTGGCATCAGTGGCTGAAGCAGCATTTGTTTTTGTCTTGTTTTTAACCCTCTAACTACAAATAAAAAGCAAGAATGAGAAACAGACAGCTAACTCTCTATGGGCTAGATTTCCTACGGCCCAGAGACACTCAGAACAGTGCTCCTCAAACTATCCATGGCAAAGAACCAGTTCTGTTCTTTAAGGGGGAGGATGGCGGGGGGTGCGTAATTTCCAACCTGCTGTGGTGCAATACTTTTGTATGACATAATAAAAATGAATCAATAAGAAAATTATTATGTGCTTGGAGCTTGGATGTTAAGGCAATGTCAAAATGCTGTGAAAATTTCCAAACTCTTACTCTTGATTTCTGTATATGTGTTCCTGGCATGAACCAATAACAAACAGCTCCTACACTGGCCCCAGTCCGTAGCCACACTTGGAGGAACACTGGGTTTAAATGAAAAAAAAAAAAGGCAGTAAGTGGCTGCAGCCAGAGGGCTAGCGCCATCAGCCTGTCCTCCGGCTCTCCACATGCCTAAAGGTAGGAAAGCTAAAGAGTGCCCTTCATTGGGGGATTTTTCAGCACAGAAATATCAAATGCTAAGCAGATTTTTGATGGTCCTTTTTCAAAGCTACCAGCACTTTTTGAACTGTGACATGAGTAATTAGATCCTAGTCATTCTCTCACGACCGAAGGAAAATACCTTACCAATTTGAAAGTGAACTACTGCTCCTGAAGGTCAATTAGCAGTGTTGCCCAATAACCTAAAAAATAAATGCTTCTGTCTTTTGTATGGGAATTTTTCTATGGAACTTCAAAAGAAAGTGTTGTTTTTAAAGATTTCTACCTTTCTTAACAACTTCTGGAAGTCCCTCTGGCTCAAACTCAGCGTCTTCAGCATCCCCTGTAGAGTAAATACTACTTTTGACTGCTTTCCTGCTTTTTTCAGAAAATGTCTCTGGTGCCGAAGGTGTTGTTCCTCCTCCATTTTCCCGAATCCCACTGGACCTTCGCCTTTTGCCTGAAGCTTTATTTTGGCTGGCTGATAACTTCTTTTCAGTAACAGAAGGGACTGGAGATGGTCCTGGAACAACTGAATCTGGCAAAGGAGAACTCTGGAGATTAAGTCTAGGCTGTTGTGAAGTCAGACGGGCAACCTGTGTCTCTAACATCTCTCTGGCTTTCTCCAGCTTCTCGTGGCTTATAAGCAGGGAACAGTACTTCTCCAAGTATTCGTCTGCCTCCTTGTTTTTCTCTTCAAGAGTCTCTTTCAGTTCTTTCATCTCAGTCACTAACTCATCTACATTAGCATCCACAGCAGTACCTGTCAAAAATAAAGCAACACATCACGTCACTTGACGCTTCCCCTAATTAACACTGGGCATCATAAAGTAGACCGCTTTAGACTTGTTCCTTGATTTTTTGCTGGGGAGAAGTGGGGCACCCATGTCTGTATATGTTCTTACATATGTTCGAACAACGTTTGTCTAGGAGGGATCATACCAAGGTACGTGTTCTAAAAATTACATGACTCTTACCAGGAGAGCTTAAATAAAATCCACCCAAATCTCAAGCTTAAATACCAGCTAACCCATCAAACTTTCTTGTAGTTATTCCTATGAGAGCAAATGGATAAGTTTGTGGCACCCCCTATTCTCCCCTGACAATTATTTACTTCCATCTTAAGTGAATGAACAATAAAAGTCAAAGAACATGAAGTCTCTGTTGTAATGGCTTTGGGAGACAGAAGGGGACCAGTGAGAAGGCAGCTCTAAAATAACTCCAAAAACCATCTGGAGGCAATGGAGAGTCTGATGGACTAGGTGGGCACTATAATCGGGGGAGTTTCATCAACTCATAGCTGCCATGGTTGGCATTAAATCTGTGTGAAGAACCCCCTGAGATCACTCGCCCAGCTATGGTCCAGAGACCCACTCACTCTATGCTTGCCATCATCTTTCCACACAGTAAGAGCATCCGCCCTGGGAACAGTTGTCATTTCTTTCCTTCTTCATTTCCACATCCAAAAATACAGCCCCCAGCCCCAAACCTTTACATGTAGGTGACCCACAAGGACAGGCCAAGCACAGCCATAATCAGCTACTTATAAATTGCCATCGCCAGCTCAGATGCCCATTTGCCTTTGACGTAGGAACTACGTAAATGGACACCCACATGAAAAACGCTTCTTGGAATGGCTCATTAGCAAAAAGTGCTGCCAGTTTATTGTACGTTTTATAGAACAGAAGAGGAGGTGTGTCTGTTTCAAAACGCAGGCTTTGTTCTGAGTCCTATCGATGACCCCAAGCTGAGCACAACATGCGGAAACTGGAAAATGGATAACTGCTGAAAATCAGCACGGAGTAACAAAAGCACATGAACAGCGCTTCCTATGCGTACAGACCCTGCGTGTAAGATTTCACCAGGCGAAGCCAGTTTGGGCCCATTGATGTGCCCAGGTGACACCCACCTGTGTTTTGGTTCTCTTGCGCAGCTCCAAGGTGAGACAGCTCTTTCTGCAACAGTTCCTTTTCCTCTTCCAGCTGTTTACAGGACTTGATCAACAACTTTATTTTCCCCTGCGCACGTTCATTTTCCTTTTTCAACTGATTTGCATATTTTAGATTGTCCATCTACAAAACAAAACCTTGCATTTAAAACCTGAATTTCTTTTCACATGCATTTAAAAACATAATCATGAGACATAATTAAGAATCATAGATTATAAATTTAAGATTTGTTATATTCAAACTAAAACATCTAAAGATGCGTGAAACACCTTTCCTACCCAACTCAGTCTAAGCCTCCCCAGTAGACACTGGGTTCGCCACTCCCTTTCTTAGTATCAGCAAGCGCAAGTCCTGGTTCCCAAGGTGATGGCCTATGAAACAGCCTGTGTTTATCCCACAAGAATCACACCTGGGGAGGGGAAGGGGGGATATGTGGACATGTTCTTGGTGGGTCAAAAATTGTTGATGAGAGAATCATGTTCCCATTTGAAATCTGTGCTGTTGCACAATTTCAATACCTAAAATGGAATTTGTTTTAGTCATACCAAGTGAAGGCCAAACAATATTATGGCTCACGATACAAATTTACACTTTATAATAAGTGAATAGAATAGAACGGTGGGCATCAGTCACAGCTCAATAATAGAAGTTCACAGTACCCTAAACACTGCAAAATCCACGTCCCACAAAAACCTTGAAAATGATATAGAGGCAAAACTTGACCTGAACAGACATAAAGGTATTTATAACCTTTATTTATCCCACCTTGTGAGAATATTCATACATACGTTTTGCTGCAGAAATATGAACTTGATTATGAAATATTACCCCGGACTCCTGCTGGGTTATTATGTAATATATGGCATATTGCATTGTATTATGTAATATCGAAAAAAATGCAGAGTTCTGAATTCAGTGCTAAGAGTTTCTGCTAAGAGACTGTGAACACACAAAGGCAGACCAAGCCAAAAGAGAGCCTGAGTATCATATTTACGCTGCAAGTAGATTTAATTCTTTATATATTTCATCTTGAAACAATTTATTAGCAACGTTGCAGTAAATCTGTACTTTCAGATCTCCTGTTTCTGATTCCAACCATAATTCAATTAGAAATCCATTTAATTCAATTTCATCAATGCTTATCAACTAGTACTTCATTAAAATTATATGCGCTCTGGACTCAGACTCCAAGAAGGCACTAGTGGTTACCAAAGGGGAGGGGTGTGGGAGGGCGAAGGGGAGTGAGGGGTATTATGTTTAGCACACATGGTGTGGGGGGGTCACGGGGAAGACAGTGTAGCACAGAGAAGGCAAACAGTGAATCTGTGGCATCTTACTAAACTGATGGACAGTAACTGCACTGGGGTGTGGGTGGGGACTTGATAATAGGGGTAAATGTAGTAACCACATTGTTTTTTCACATGAAACCTTCATAAGAGTGTATATCAATACCTTAATAAAAAAATTTTTTTAAAAACTGTATGTGCTCTGAATAGACTCAACTAACAATATACCATTTTGCACACAGTATGTAGACAGACATTCTCCACAGAACTGTTCAAGACTTAAAAAGCAGAAAGCACATTTGAAATATAATGTTATATGCCAATTTTACCTCAATTTTTTTAAAAAAAGCAGGAAGTGAGTAAATTAAAAAGTAGACCTAAAGCTACTTCTTTTCTCTTATTAAACCTAACATCTCTCATTTTGTGGCAGGAGAACATTATTGATCATTAATGTTATTTTGAATTTGATTAGTCTGTTTTTTATTGGTATATTTCCCTCTGTCACTTGATAATTGTATAAGAGCCATAAACGTAAGTTTGTCTCTAATTTTCTGTTTGAATATATTCAATATACAATATCATCATTTTTAAAATTTAAATAATCTTACAAGTAAAGGCCTTTACTGGAAGATCTTTATTTTCCAGGTTCACTTTTATACATTCTGGATGGGATTTGTTTTGTGAAAAATATTTGTAGGAATCAAGAGAGCCTCCCTTTTTGAGCAGAATAACTATAGCACCATCCACAGTCTGAGAATCCTGAGACTAGGGTTCACCTCTTTTTTTTCCTGAGAAAAATATCTTATGGTCCTGCATGGAGAAGAGGAGAATGTGTGCCTGACCAAGTGCTCCCACACCTTGACCTCCCGATAAGCCATGGGAAAGTGGGTTTGGTGACAGCAGTGAACTTGGAAACAAATAAAACAAACCTTTGGAATTAACCCACCAAATTATTATCTATGGCTGGAGGGGTCTGCCCTGAGCTGCCGTCAACTTATCTTGAGACCCATCTTGAGAACTCTGTACCATTCTCCAGTTGGAGAGGATTCACTGAGCCAGATAAAGTTTATTCAAGCTATAAGACTACAGACCATCCACTGATTTTTAAAAAAAATAACTCAGCAAAGAATGAATGAGTGACATTATTTTTTGACTGCAATATAATTCTCATAAAATTAAAAGGAAAGCACTTAATTCCATACCACTACAAACACTCGTATCTGTATGATTCATTCTAAGTCATGAAGTTGTAGGAAGTGAACATACCTTGGTTTTCTTTAATTCTTCTAAAATCTGAGTGGTAGCTTTCAAAGAATTATTGAGTTCTTCTTTACTCGACTTTAAGAGGTCCATCTCTGCCTTCTGTGAGCTGAGACATTCTTCTTTAGAAGTCAGTTTCTCTCGGTACGTCTGGATTTCCATTTGGTACTAGGGCAGAAAAATGTTACTTTAGCCAGAAGGCTCAGCTGGAGAAATCTGAAGGAAAACAACGTAACACTGCTGTTCCAAGGACCCTCTCAAATCATCTTAGCAACTCTCCTACTACGCTACTCCAAGACGGAAATGTATTTCAAAAACGCAAGTCATACAGGAGACATGTACAGGCAACTGGAGAAAGGTAGTGAAGGTAATACGATGTGACCCTTCATAAGGTCACATAGCATAGTAACAATGCAGAACGGTGTTCTTGCAAAAAATGCTTCATTACCATGGTCAGCATACACTCCGTATCCCCAAGTCACCACACGCCACATTTTACCTGTTTGTTTGCATCCACAAGCAATGCCTCATGCTTCCTGTCAGCTTCCTGAAGCTGTCGCTGATACTCAGCTATTTCTTCTTGCATTTTCCCTTGCTTTTCCATCTGGTCTTTGTGTACACAGTCTAAACTCTTCTTCAATTCACTATTTTCTCGCATGAGCTCCTGTAATTGACCCTAATGAGAAAAATAATAAAATCACAGGACATCCTTTAAGAACCTGGCTGTGTACCTTTAGGAAATACTGAAGAGAAAAAAAGGAGTGTACAGATCAAGTCAAAATCTATATAGACCTGTGCTATAACCCTTAGCAATGCATTCGCTTTAAATTGTGATTTCATCTCCAGTGATAATTTCTGCTCAGCCCAGCCACTCCCAAGATCACACCCACAAGGACCAGAGACTCTGAAAATTCAACTTTAACTAAACCCTCTGAGACCACACCCTCATCTTCCAGGGTCACTTACTTAACTTCCACTGCAGTGAGTCCTTGACCTCATCAATAGCACCACTAACGCCATGACCACCTTGACACTTATGCCCCTCAGACTTCCGTTTTCTTCCTCAGCCAGTGTAGATTCCATGTTCTATCACAGTGAGAATTTCCTTCCAAATGCCCTCAACTCTTCTGCCCCTTCTGCCTCCACCACTCAGGACTGGCAAAACTCCAGCCCTGGAGGCATCTGTCTTCTCTGTTTGACCCCAAAACCATCTCCACATGTGTTCATTATATATTGGCTGCAGCTACTCGCTCATCTCCTGTTCACTCTTCAAGGCCCTTCGAACCTGGTTTTGCACCAACCCCGCTAACGTAGCTTTCCCGGGCATCGCTGGCCTCCGTGCAGCAGACCCTAGGAGCACTCTGCAGCTGCAGGCTCCTCCGCCTGCTGAGCAGTACCGCACACTGCTGTCCACCCAGCCCCTCCCAAGGCAGCCTCCGCTCTGTCTCGAGGACATGACACTCGCCTGGTTTGCCTCACTGTATCCTGTGGCTTTCTTTGCTAGCCCTTCATCCTCCTTATTATCCTGCATGCTGAAGGTCTCTGGGCTTCACCATCAGTATTTTCTACTACTCCCATAACTGTTAAATACTCTCTATATTCTGAACTAGCCAAATTCACATATCCACCCTAAGCCCTCCTTTCAAACCCCAGCCTCATGCGTTTGGTGTCACTTTAGATTGCATTCTCATTCTTTACCATGGCTTCCCTAGTGCTCCAATCTTTTACACATCATTTCCCATCTGACTCCAGCCACAATGGCTTCCTTCCCATTTCTAAAAAAAAACATGCAAAGACCTTTCTAACCCCAGAGATTTTACCGCACTGCTCTCTAGACCTAAAAGACAACTCCTTCCTCTGGGTTGCTCTGCACACGGCTGACTCCTCACCCTGCAGGTGATACTCTCGGACCAACCTGTCCAAACTAGGTTATTCCCTGCTCCCACATCCCACTTACCTATTATTCTGCAGTAAGGAATCTTATTTGATGCCTTTAAAGGACTAAACAGTTTATGATTATGCTTCCTATTTAGTAATTTACTGTGTGCCTGGATGGTGCGCTCTGTGAGTGCAGGAATAACAGCATAGCTATGGCTCAGCATTCTATCCCCTGACCTTAGTAGCACTTAGTATTCATAGAATAAATA